AAAAAAAAAAAAAGGAGAAAGGCTCATTAGAGTTCATGAAGCAAAAGTAACGAAAAAGGCATGAAGAACAAGTATAATATGCCTATTGGCTATCGCGTAACTGAGAATATTTGAGAGTAGGCTTTTAATCCGGTGAGGAACCGTATGTAAGTCGGTTTTGCAGATCCACTTGTGGGTACACTTCTAATGTTGGGAACAAGATACTGAGCAACCTGCACAATTGTAAGCATTTTCAAAGGAGAGGGTGCTAATAATGTTTACTGTTATAAAAGTTTGTGCAGTAAAGAAAAAATAACTCACTACTTCAGCTGGTTCAGCCAAAACATTAATGAAAAACTTGGCCTGCAATACACATAAAATTGCCAGATAAATATATTGAGATAACAAAACTAATAGAAGCTTTGACGAAAAATCATAAACAATATGGACCTGCTTTGTGTTAGCACCAGACATGAGAAGATCTGTAGTAACCATTCCTGGCTGCACAGAATGGGAGATTGAGAAGCGTAAATATATAAGATGAATGAATATATGATTTGTTTCGGAATACATTAAAGAAAAACTGAAAAACTGTCTATTCAACTAGATCACACAAACCAATTTTGCTCTCACCCCTCTTGCTTTGTTCTGGTAAATCCTATAAGCTATTAATCATTCTTACAAAGGACTAACTTCCGATGTTATGCACTTCCTTTCTTCCTTTTTCAGTGACATGGCATGTATTAGGATTTTGATCGCTCAGAGATTTTTGTATTTTCTAAAAAACTGCGAACACAAGGTTCTAAGTTGCCAGGCGAATCTAATTTGCCCAAGCAAGTGTCTTTTGGAATCTAGGGAGTTGACACGTAATATTCAAGAACACAAGGTTCTAACCAAGATAACTGCGTACTTTTTTCAGTGGATGTTTCTAATGAATTAAGCACATTGCACACATACCGAAAGATTGTGTACTATAACATTCTTGACATCTTGCATCCTCAATTCTGCCTGTAGCGATTTAGTGAGATGCACCACACTGCGTTTAGTTGCACCATAAGCGGCAAATCTGGGGGCATGAATAAGGAAAAACATCAGAAGATAAATGTAAGGGAAGGAGTAGAGAGTAACAAAGAAACAAATGGCACTCTAAATGAGGTCCAAATGAACATCAAAGACTATTACCTTGTGACTAGACCTTCTAATGAATGAACAGAACTTCACATTTTCAGTTCTTTCTTTAAAAAGAAAAAAAAAAGTTCTTTCAGGCTTATAATTCTTTTAGTTTTCCAAGAGTTTTTTTAGTTGCTATAGTCTTCGGTTTTCCTAGCCATTTAGGCATTATGCATTCAACTTCTCAGAGTTATTTTTTTAGGTTTTAGTTATTTTTAGTTTTCTATTTGAATTTTTCACAGTTATAAGATTTTGTTATTCCGAAGAAATTGAATTAAATTCCTTCAGTATGTACATTGAAGAACAATGATAAGGACGGAAGGTCTAGAGAGACACAAAAAAGAAGACCTTGGAGTTGGTCTTCCATCTGAGCCAGCTCCGTCGATGTTAAAGATATGTCCTCCTCTAGACTGTGTTTGCATCATATTTATTGCCTATAACAACCCTGTATTAGACCTTAGCTCAAAATTGTAAGAAAATTAGCTTAAAGGCTATCTGCTGCAATAACACCTCCGGGTAGAGTTTAGATGGTAAATACCTCTCGGCAGCATATCATCAAACCAAGGGTATTTGTAGATACAACTTCACTGCATACAAAAATCGGACCACACATACATAAATCAATACACATGACAAGATAAGAAAGGAAATTCGCAACAGAACTCACATTAGATCTTCATCAGATGCCTCCATCAATGGTTTGTAACAATATGCATTCGATCCTGCATTATTTATCTGCATCATTCTCAAATGGAGTAAGAGAGAAAAGAAAAAAATAAATAAAGATGGACCTAAATATTTGTGACATACAACTAAAAATGTAAAGCATATACACACATACGAAAGCACAGAGAGAGATATTTAAAATGCAATCGACAGCCCAACATTGCACTGGAAATGGTATATTACGAGAAATTTGCTTGTGTGAAGATGGCATACCCATATGTCAATGTATTTAAGTTGATTTTGTGCAAAGGAAACTAAATTCTTGACATCATCCCCTTCTCGAACATCGCACTTGATACCCTGAATAAACAAGTTCATATACGGCCACAATTATGGCATCCATACACATTCATAAGACGATTGTCACCACTTCATATGAGTTTACATCAGTGTGTGTGTGTGTGTGTGTGTGTGTGTGTGTTATACACGCAAGATCATGTTATAACTTGATATATGAAAAAAAAATAAAAAAAAAAATCAAAATTGAATTTGCAACAGGAGAATACTTATTCACTGTTATTGCATCATATCCGTTTGCATATATTCACATGGTCACTCACACAGCAGCAGAAAATGTAAAGCGCAGTGAAGTTGCGAAGGGGGTACCCACACATGCTGCTTCCCCGTCTCAACCTGTAAGCTTTCAGTAGCAGATTTCACTCGTTCGTCTGTCAAGTCGGAAGTAAGTTGGAATGTTAAAAGTGGTGTTTTTATCATAAGCAAAGAAATGAAGAAAAAAAAAAAAAAAATGAAGGGGGAAAAACAAACACAGCTTCTGCAAGACAAAGTATCCAAGGGAAGTTAGGAGAAATGAAACGTCTCACTCAAGTAGACACGATAAATCGTACTTGTTACCAGTTAAAAAAATGAACTGACAAGGGACATGTTCAGAACTATAATTACTGAATTTGATGAATCCAAGTTCCATCTTTCTACGGATTCCATCGAAAGTCACTAAGTGTTAAACAAAGCGGAAACCATATATTTCAAGTACTCTTCCAGCATCTATTTTAGTTGCATATTGAATGTTAGCGACTCTCATTGCATTAGGCCGTAAAATGCAAGCACAAGTTGGGCCACCAGTTTTTCAGTTCATCTACATTAGAAATTTAATTGTGAAGCCTAATAAATGATGATTAGCAAACAATAATCTTCAGACAGGGAATGCAATTAAACTGAATGTAGGAAGATATGACATAAGATCGTTAACATAACGACAGTATGGTGTAAACAAATCACTTACCTGATCTAGAACATATAATCACATTATCTCCAGCTTTGAGAAACTCTTTTGCTAATGCATATCCTATTCCTGTAATAAAAAAGTTCAGAATAGTCCATCCCAAATAGAAGAGGGTTAAGGGATTATACACTAACATGAGTGAAACTGACAATTTTGTTAATTTATGATAGTTCAAGGTCAAATGTGCAAACAGGCAAAGAAACCACTTTAGGTTCCCAAAATCAGTGTTTTCGGCTAAAGCAAACGGACGACGAATCCGATGAATTCTTTTTTTTTTTTTTTTTTTTGGTACACTAAAGGAGGCCAAGGGCCTAAGCTAGAACTTGTCGGGGGTATGACACCCCAATATTATCATGCGTGAGCCACTCTCCCACTCCCGGCGGAGGGGAAGAGAGCCGGTGAAGCCCGAGCGGGTAGGAAGACGCCACACTCGCCAAAAAATCCGCCACGAAATTTGCCTCCCGATGAGCGTGCTGAATCCGAACAGACCAATCCCTAAATGACATGTTATATGCTTGAAAAAAAAGTATGAAAAGTTCGATTCTGTGTGATTAAGAAATACCTTGAGCAGCAACAAATGCCCATCAAACACAAAACCAACAAGCTAGGAGCAGCGATATAAAGCATAAACACGCAGTAAAAAAGAAAGAACCAACCTTTACTTGAACCAGTTATCAAAACATTATAAGGTGGAACCATCGGCTCGGTGTTTTTGGAAACAGAAGAAGAAAAAGCCCTTAACGGGTAAAAGGGTTTTAGAGCAGCACTTGAGTTGCAGCTAATGGGCGCTCTGTTTAGCGCGCAGTAAAACGACGAATGGCTGAAGGTGTTGAGTTTTGGATTTGGTTGCGTGTGAAGTGAAAGGAAAGGGACAGAGAAGGTTGAGGACTCCATTGTTGTTATCATCATTTTGGAGATGAACAATGGCTGGTTTGAGTCTTGTTGGGCCTCTACAAAATCAAGCCTTCTGTTTGGGGTTGAAAGGATTAGTGAGTAACGAGTAAAAAAAAAAAAA